GAGGAGAGTAGAGAGGAGGGGAGAGAGGGGTAGGGCAGGGGAGAGGAAGTTTTATCCTCACTTTGTTTGATTTGATTAAAAAGAAAGGGAGGGAAAGATATTTAATGATCCTTTATTTGATTCAAAGAGGGGAGGGGAGGGATAGTAATAATCAATTTACCATTTTATCCTTACATATTAGTTTATATTTTTTATTAATATATTATATAAATTAATTTACATCTTAATTTAAATTATATAATTTAATAAAAATTCAGTCTTATCATGTTAATATGTGCATTAAAAAATTGGTACTGTAATTTTTTATTCTAATTAATATAATAATATAATTAAAATAATCAAATCAACAAATTTCATATGCTCTAAGAAAAATGAAATTTTATTCTTTGGGCTATCTTTTTTTAGCTTTAAAATATATTTATAAGAAACAATTAATTTTATAATATTATAATTTTTTATTTAAATAATTTTTTATTTAAATAATTTTTTATTTTAAATAATTTTTTATAATATTTTTAATTATAATAATTTATATATTTTTTATTTTTTACTTAGGATAATATATTTTTTATTTGAAATAAATATTATAATAATATATTTTTATGGATAGAAATGGAATATTAAAAAAACTATAATGGTATAATGGTCCAAAAATTTAGCTCCTATCCAAAAACCCTCAATTTGAAGGGGAGCTAAAATGGGGGAGGGAGAGAGGGGAGGAGAGGGGAGGGGACATTTTGGTTTTCCTCCCCTCCAAAATTTTTAACCAAATGAGGGGAGGGGCTCATTTTTCCTCCCCTCTCCTTCCCTCCCCTCCAACCAAACAAACCCTAAAATTTTACTACCTCTTGTCCTTAATATAAGACTTTATTTGATTTTTATTTTGGTCTTAAATATAAAATCTTAATCTATTTTATCTTTCATATTCATTTATTTATTTTTTCAAAATAGTCTTTCTAATAATGATAGTTCTAACCAATAAACTTGATTAGTTAGTATATTTTAGGAAAGATAACATCTATGTATTAAAAATAACTAACTTAACTTACTTTCTTAATTTACTCAAATTAATCAACTAGTTCTTATATTCAGGATCAGAGGTAAACAGTTTTTTATATACTGTTACTACTTTTGGTTTTTAATATACTAATCTAGTCCTATTTATAAGGCATTTCCAACATGTTTTACACGGATCAAGAAAAACCTTAAACTGCATTAACTCTTAATTAAAATATGACAACTTTTCAATTTTATCCTTATTTAATGTATACTCCTTTAAAAAAAACTGTTTGCATTATAATAAATGAAGGATAATATGGTACATTTATAGTAAAAATTTAATGAAGTAACTTATAAATATGACCAAAAAAACCTTTTTTTCTGCCCTATAAATAGGACCAGAGGAGTAAGAATCAGTTTAACATTCAATTTGATCTTAAATATAAGACTTCAGTCTATTTTATCTCTCATATTTATTTATTTTTTTAAAATAGTTTTTGTAAGTAGGTGTATATATTAAATGTTTTATTAAATGTAGTTCTAACTAATATATTTGATAATAAAAATATTTTAAGAAAAATAACATCTATCTATTACAAATAATTAATTTAATTAATTTTCTTAGGTACTGTTTGGTGTAAGGGGAGGAGAGAAAATATTTCAATAAATTTTATTTAAAAAATTTGAAGAAGGAAATTTTTAAAACTTTAATAAAAAGAAAAAGTAATATAAAACTATAATAAAAATTAATTGAAAGCTTTTGATTCCACTTTTCAATTTTTTAAATCTAACTAATCAAAAATTCCCCCTCTCTTTTTCCATTTCTCTCATATCAAGAGGGTAATTGACTCTTATATTAAAAATTAAAGGTAGCATATTTTTTCGGCCAATAATATATTAATAATATGGTAGAAGGAGTGTTATTATTTTTTTTTACCGATGGCTAAAAAATATTATTTTTATTCTATATTAATAATATGGTAGAATGAGTATTATTATTATTATTATTATTATTATTATTATTATTATTATTTTTACCGATGGCAAAAAATTATTGTGTGCGAATGGCTTGAGTCCGTGGAAAATGAGATTAAAAAAAAAGGGAAATTAAAAAAAGGAGCCCGTGGAAACGAATAACAAATAGTGAATGCCTCACCCGGGCAATTCGTCAAACACCCTACCCGCCATTATATCAGACACCTGACCAAATCCCAGACGCTTCGGCGAATCTTGTGAGTATCCATTCCTTTCCAATTGTTTATTTGGTACGCACTAAGCACTGTCTGCTATCTTTAACTATTTATGCTCGGGCTTATTTTCCGCCATTCTACTCATGTAGTCTTTGTCTGTGGGTACTTGATTCTGTTTTCGGTGACATTGATACTGGCTGAGTGAGATTGCATTGTAGAAATATATGGAGCACCGTATCTTTTCTCACTTGTGCGTTTAAGAAGTTCGTACTTCATACTATACTCGAAAGCGCATGCGAGACCTACAGAACACAATGTAGGCTGTGCTCTGTGCTGTAGGTGCCGTTTCTGAAAGGATAACATGTTTGGCTGACTCGACATGATATGAAGTGTTCATTCGAAACTATTGATGCTTTGCATAACTCTTCTTGTTTGCTTCCCTCCAATACTGCTATTGATTTAATTTCTGATTATTTTCTAATTCTGGAAATTCTGAATTTGTCAACATGTTCGGATGCCTTGGCCTGTTTTCTTTTGCGTTGAGAGGAACTGAATGATATTGCAGTGTAGGGAACACATATTTGCGTTCACTTATTCACTTAACAAGCTCATTTTATTCAGGGCTTTTGAAATTTAAAAATGCTGTTTGTGTTTAATAGACTTTGGCATTGGCACATGGGACATGAAGGTGCCACGGACACGGCAACGCAATATTCATATGTAATATAAAAATGTTGTGTCGTGTCTAATAATTGTTTTACATGTGTATGTTCACTGCTCCTTTTTCTGAAGTGCCCTTGATTCCTACTCTAGATGCATAGACTTTCCTATTTGATGAGGAACCATAGAGTAGATATTCCTTACGTATGGAACTCTTCGGGATGGGTTTGAGCAATAGTTTGGACTGCGGGCTTAGGCATATAACAAAAGCTCATCTAACCTTAGGCTGCACGCGTCAGATTTTAATTGAGGTGTTCCCTGACCCATTTATTTTAGCAACTTTTATGCTACCTGGGTCTTGCTTTCAGCTGTCCCTCACTTGATGTCATGTGATTCTGTTTGTTACCAGCCTCCCATTGGATTCGGCCAACACATAGTTGTTGGAAATAAAGCCTTCATTTTATAGCCCTCCCTTTTGACAGTTTGATCACTTGCTAACTCCCTAGTTGGTCTTTGTGAAAGCCACGTGCAATTCGATTATAGGGGTAAATCGACCTGTGGCATTACATCTGTTAGATTCAACTGCTGTTAAGGTTACCCATTATTACAATTTGTTAAATCTGAATTGAAACGCTTGTTTCCACTGGTCTTTCTGGGCACTCCAGATGAAAAGTTTTCTATTCTTCTTATTTCCTCTTATTCATTATGTATCTTATTATTATTCAATTTGCTCGGTTGCATCAATTCGAAAGTGTTTGGACCTTAGCAGATCTCTTGGATATGCAGAGCATAAGGAAGTCTATCTTGAGACATATAAATTTGAGGAGGTCAAATGAAAGATGGTTTTTGGTGAGGGATGAGAATGTTCTGATGCAATTGAGATGCCTTTGCTCCTCAGCTGATGCCAGCTCTGATGTGATATTGGATCGAGTTATTGGATTGGTGAAGAATTATAATAGGATTAACGCTTCTAAGGTATTAGACTAATGGTTAATGTGGCATGGTTCTATTTTTAAGTATTAATGCCTTATTGAATGTTTTTATTTATACTCGCTTTGGGAAATTTATTTGTAGGGTACAAAATAAAAACTTGGGTGTTAGCTAGATGGGTTGTTCTTGTTTTTCAAGGCAATGCTCACTATAGCTGGGGGATATTTCACTCATGAGCACGAACTTGGTAACAATAATTGTTCTTGGAGACTTTCAAAGTCAAAATTCTTTTCAAGGACTAAATTTACCACCAACGCATCCTGAAATCATCACTCATGTTTTTAAAATTCACAACCTAGTCTTCTCTATGCTACAATAATGTTGTAGATTTGTGATTATAAGGAATAGGAATTGTAATTCTAGAAGATACCAGAGGTACTATAGGAAATATAATTTTGGTCTTTCTAAGAGATTTTTATTTTCAAATTCCTTTGGCTCATTTTCCCCACCTTTGGGACCTTAAGTGGAAATTTTGCCTATGACTCAGATCTCTACCAATGAAGGATCGTTAGCAGGAATTGATGTTACTTGTACTTCACTGTGTAGGTTACTGAAACAGCTGATTTTCAGAAAGACTTGAACCTCGACAGCTTGGACAGGGTGGAGCTTATTATGGCTCTTGAAGAAGAATTTTCCATTGAAATCCCTGATGAGAAGGCAGAAAAGCTAACTTGCTGTGCTGATGTTGCGAAGTACATAACCTCTGAAGCTTCTCAGAAAGCTGCTGAAAAGCCCTGACTTCTTGGCAATATTGCCTTGACGTGGTATTCAAAAGTCTCCTATTTCAGCTATCAGAGTTCCTTTAAGTCAGCCATTTTTCAACTACTTGTGTCGTTGGTTGACCTATCTGCTGCTTCAACAAGTTCTTTGTTGTTAGAATCATGAAGACTTAAAGATCATAGCGATTGAATTTTGTTGAAGTTAAGATAGGTTAGTCTGGTTGAAATGCTGTGTTTGTTGATCTTTTAGATGTTTCATAGATGCAGTGATCAGAAGAATTCTAAGCACAGAAATCATTCAGTCTAAAGATACATAAGCTAATCAAAGACGGGATTGGTTTTTCCATGCTTTTACCTTCTTGTTTATTGATCCTGGTAGCAAATGAAGCAATTTAGAATCATTTTAGCCTTCTATATGACAAAATGCCAGAAGTGTTTTGCATTTAGAAACATCAAATAACTCATGCAACCCAAATGCATTTTACAGTTTTCTTTACCATAATGTTTAAAATCCATGCAACTCAATACTGTGACTAGAGCGCCATCTAAGTGAGCCATGGGACTCTTCCTTGTAAGACTATATATAAGACTGTCTCACATTTAATTTACAAAATATACGAAAAGCAGGTCAATCATAAACAAACATATCAGATATTTGAAAGCACATATCTGAGACTTGTTCATGATTGATTTAATCTGCTATATTGCTTCCTCTCTGTGTTTATCCATGCAAGGGCTTGGAAGCGGAATGCTGGAATCTGAAGTTGCCGGCACTGTAAGTTCGAATGCCATTCCCAAAAGTTGATAATATGAGTTTCTTGTGTCTCTTGATATAAGCTGGCTGGCACCGTGAGTTCCTTGGGATCTGCTGAACTTTGACTCTGCATATTTTTTCCAAGTTGGGAATTGCATGCAAGTGTGAAGGAATATCGATCATGAAGTCTCCATATTCATCCGTTACACCTTTTGCTACCGTCGACTTTCCTCCCCCCCGGCCGCCGTAGCTGTCGCAATTGACGGCCACCAAAGCCCCTGCATAAGTTTGAGAATTTTTGAGTGTTTAAATCGCTCCAGAAATAAATTTGTCGAGCCAAATTAATAATTTAGGACCAGAAACAGTAATTAAAAACACTTTTTTAATTTTATTTAGAAGTCACTTCTAGTGTGTTTTACTGCAACCAAAAAATAAAAAAAAGAACTTTCGACATCATTAGCCCTATTTTAAAATTTAATAACTTTTCAATATTCTTACCTCTATCTCTTTAATATAGACACTTTCCAATAATAAGTGAGGTGCAAAATTATATTTTGATGTAAAAAAGTTTAATGATATGACTTATAAATAAATTAAAAAGATTTTTATCTCTCCGATTTACAAATAAAATAAGAGAAGTGTAATGATTTTTTGGGTACAGTAAACAAAAAAAACGCAATAAAGATTGATTTTGAGGGTGAATGATAAATATTTTTGCCATCAGTGCTTTTGAAGATTAAAAAATAAATGTTGTTATCTAAGTAATAATTAAAATGATAAAGTAACGTCCTTCAAAAAGATCATAGACAAGAATTATCTTTCTACCCAACATTCAAATATGACAATAAATATTGTATACGTCATTTCTCTAGATTGGAAAGAGACCGTTCTTATGGTATAATTAACCGAACAGAGCTTAACTGTCTTAAATTAAAGTTCAGATCGATGTTTTAGTTCCATTTCACCCTTGAACCTTGTTTCCTGCTCCTTCGGTTCATCAACGTTTAAGAGAAAGCGACTTGAACATTTAAACCTGTAAAGTTGGGCAACATCTGACTAAAATACTGATGGTGACCTATCATAATTGTTAATTTAATGCTATGGGTTTTCCGACATTAACTATGATTTTGAAACCCCTTTATTATATCTAATCAATATTTATTATTCTCAGCGATGTGTCGCTTATGATATTAACAAAAATCAAATACCATTCGAACATCTTCACTTTCCTTAATACAAACCACGTGCTCCTGTTGTTGTCTCATTTTTGCAGTATCGCTTAAGATTTAAGGATGAGAATTAACTCAATTCTTTCAGTGATATTTTACATTTCTATATATATATATATAGAAATATATGAGTGAATTAAGAAGAATTGTTTGGTTTGCTATCATTTTCTTTCTATCCTCCATGCAGATCATTCTTTTTGAAGCAGTTTAGCCTTAATTAGTCTGCAATATGATTGAGTGAATATGAGACAACACACACAAATATATACGTCTGTGTGTGTGTGTGTGTGTGTTTCTTCTTCAAAATTGAAGTTTCACCAAAAACCAGAAAGCAAAATTACTCAATATTGTCACCAAATTAATAGTGAAACGCCAACAGCTCTCGAGATCTACACAGTAAGTTCACTGCTTTAATTTGAAGCATATATATATTGTTAACCTTAGTACAACATCTTAATCTTGACATAATCCTTAATTAATGTAGTAACTGACATATACTAATGTACGTGTTTGTGTTGTTACAGTGAATTAATTTTCCCAAACTAAAAGCAAACACATGACTATTAGTGATTAGCTTGCATATAGCTCTCTGATATAACATCATATCTTCTTTCCGTTTTTTAATTTACGCATATATATTAATAACCAAAAAAACCACAACAACATATAAACATTCAGTTTGTAGTTCAATTTGAACAACAAGCTAGATCTTAGAGGGAGTAATATGTAAGAACCTTGTTTTCAATCCTTATAAGGAAATAAAAAAAACACTTCAGCATATCCAGATTGAAGAGATGGGAAGAGATCATCATCAAAGGAAATTAAATTTTAATGCTGTGTTTGGATTGAGCAGAATATATGGATAACATTTTTGGCAGAACAACTAAAAGTGATTCCAAACACACACAAGAGAAAGTAATTGATAGCATATACCAACATGTTCAATAAAGACGTGCGAAAGCCTAAGAAATATTCATGCTGTTAGATATTTGGATAAATGAGAATTGAGTTTATTTTTCTCGTGGGAACCTCTTAACAAGTAGGAGAAGCAGGAACGGAATTAAGAAAAATAGCTAGGATGTTTCTGCAAAAAATATATCATATTAACTAATTTAATTAACATTTGTAATCTATTTAAATTAGTTAATTAGGTTTTATATTAAGGACCAGAGAAGTAATAAAAGTAATACAAGTTGTGAGTTTGATGAAATATGAACACCATATATATGTATGCTCGCGCTGCAGAAACTGCAGAATTTAGAGAAGAACGAGCCGCTGCAGAAAAAGCAAAAGGGTTTGAGATATGTTTATGTAGGTACCTGGAATTGGCCATGCATGAAGCTCATCGGCTTTTCCATGCAAATTATGGGCCTCACAATGAACAGATCCTGTCACAAGCACTGTGGAAAGCTTCTCCTCTCCATATCCAGCCATCTGCACCATCTCTTCTCTGCTCAGTAACTCCGACATATCTCCATCCACATCCTCTCCGGCGGCTAATGCCGGCGCTGGAGATTGAAGAAGGAAGAAGATGAAGCAGAGATTAAGAAGGAGCATCACAAGGGCGTGAGAGCCGCAAAAGTTGGTCATCATCTTCTTGTTGGCGCTTATTTGTGTTACGTAAGATATTCAAACCCAACACGGCAGGAAGATATATATAAGCAATGCCTTCAGGAGGCAATCCCATTGATCGTTCAAGTTACGCTTTTGCCCTTATTGGTTTGACTTTATTATATTATATTTACGTAATGGAATTCAATTTTAAACATATTTGTAAGCCTTCCATTACAAGTTTTCTCACCACATAATATAATGCTGTTACTTACGGATAACCAAACCATGCATGCGTGGTAAACAATATTAATCACTCACTTCTTAGAAAGTTTTTTAATTTAAGATTTCCTGTGTTTTTTTTAACTAAAATAATAAAGTTTGGGGTTTGGGTGAAATCCATAGGAAAAACTTTATGTGTGCACTTTTCCCGATTTTTTCAGTAGATCCTTACAGTGCACTTATACAAAATTGTCAATAATATAGAGCAATAGAAGGAAATAAATTACCAATTCATATATATTTGGAGTATAAATATGGTATAATTTTAAATAAGATAAACAATTTTTTTTGTTAAAATAGTAATGTATCACTTTGGTTCTGATCATGAAAACAAAGTTTCTCTTAATTATAAAACATGTCATTAATTTTGTATCACTAGTTTTACCTCTTATTAAATGTTGGTGCATGTTATTTAATTCTTAAAGTATGCATATTTAATAGGAAAAAAAGTTAGAAACATACTAAATTTTTAGATTGAATCAATGAGTTTCAAGATTTTTTTTTTAATTTTTGTAAAATATGTTGGAAGTGATTTATAAAAATAAAATCAAAGTGGCACTAAAACTATAGTTTAACTAAATACTTGAGAAAAGATAAGGACTAATTAAAGTTGGTTCACTTGAATATATTTGAACAAGGAATAAAGAAGAGCGGAGGGTAAAATGGGAAGTTAGGTGACCAAGAAGAGAAGGAAAAGAAGTTGGAAGTTGGGAAGGGAAGTTAAGGCTAGGGTATTAACTAAGTTGGTAGCCTACCCTTCTGCCACAAACATATAGTTTATTTAATTAAGAATATTCTTTAATTAATTAGAGAAAGTTAATTCACTTTATTATAATTAACAGAATTTTTGTGGTGTAAAGGCAAAACAAAGCATTATTTACAATTGCTTGAGTTAAGTAATAACGTACACGTATGTTTTTGACTCAACCTTGGCAGCTAAGCTAAATTCAAACCCTCTTTCTCCCTTTTCTCAACCCATCCCAACTATCCCTTCTCTCTCTCTCTCTCTCTCTCTCTAATATTGTCGCTTTCAATTATTCTCTCTACTTAATTAATCTCATTTATATACACGCATGGTATATAAAATTTACTGTCATTTTAGCTCTTTATTTATATATAATTTCATATTCTCCCTCCAATTCTTGTTATAAATTTCTAGGAAAAAATGGATGATTCTGATAACACAATATGTTTGGTATGAGAAAAAAGAATGAGAGAGAAAGAAAATTTTAATGATATTGATTTGAAAAAATTGAAGAAGTGAGTTTGATTTTTTTAATTAATTTTTCTTACTATTTTGTCCTATATCTTCTATTAAAATTTTATAATCATAATTTTTCAATTGTTTCAGATGAATTATTAATTTTTCTCCTCTCTCTTTCCCTCCATTTCCCTCATAATTGGTTGAAACATTTATGACATTTATTCAGAATTAATCCCTTCACTTTCATGTTGTTTTTATTAATTAATATGACCCTCTTTCGTTCTCGTAATTAAACAAAAGAGAGCGAAACATTTTGGTTCGTTGTTTTTAAAAATTAAATGCAAGAAGAACAACATATACGCTAGCTCATGCCTTAACTGAGATTTTTGATATTTTATATCTAAAACTTATAAAAGAATAGGTACTGGCTTTGAAAGAAAGATTATAGCAAGTAATTATGGCTGAGCGGATAAATGAAAATGACGGCAGAAATTATTAAAATGGATTATATAATAGTGAATTAATGGGAAGCTTAAATTAATTAATTTGACTGGACATATATATATATGGGAATATATAACATAAAGCAACAGCAATAATTTTGATAATCTACAGCGAATTGATATGGCCAACTTTGTGACGGGAAACTGTACGGATTTATTAAAATGAAAAATCTGCAAAACACCTGCATTACACACACCACACTACATCAAATCCTAATTATGAAATCTCGTTTGTAAATTTTATAATTATAAGACTTCATTTATAAGCTATAAAGTAGGTTTTATAATTTAATAATTAAGACCAAAAGTAATATATATAAGTAATATATATAAGTATATAGAATGATTATGTAAGCCAATTTTTTTTATTATTACCTTTTTTCTAAATATATATAGGAGCTGATGGGATATTTGTTTTGGTCTTAAATATAATATTTTAATTTATTTTGTCTTTCAAATTTATAAAATTTTTCTTCACCTATTCCTATTTAATGTATGTATGAAAAAAGGATTTTTCAACAATGGAGTATTTTAAAGAAACTAATAGACATGTATTACAATAACTAATTTAATCAACTTTTTTAAAATCCAAATATTACAGTTATCTACTTTATATATGTGGGATCAAAAAGAGTAAAAAATGATGAGTATAAAAAGATTAAAACACCCTTAACAGTTATTTTCCTCCTCCTCTCCCCGCATTCCCATAACCTCTTTCCTTCCATGGGGGTTTGCAGACATGCCCCCACATCGTTCTTGCGATGATTGGCATTTGAGTCACTTCGCAATTCCTTATATCGCAATAATACCTTTTTTTAATGGGATTTTGGTTTGATTTCTAAAGCTTGAAACATTGCCTTTATTTATCTGATATAAGACTTCTCATTAATACAAATTATCAACTATATCATCTCTCCTTATCTTCTTATATATTTTCATGTTTTATAAATTTTTCAAAAGAAATTATATTAGTTAGATATTTCTCTGAAGCAATGGCCACGTCATCACTCCCGGAGTGGGGAAGCAAGTCTTGTTCTCATAAGGGATCACCATTGTTTTTTGATTCCAAGCCTCTCTCATCGACATGTCCCAATAATTTAGATATTTCCACAAATTTTTCTCACGACGGGAAAATGTATGCCTGGATATTGGGCCGAAAAACTTGGGCTTGGCCCGATAAACCTCTAAGACGCTATTTTGGTCTCATTTTTAAGTTACATCATTCTCCCTTGCGTCTCGACTCTATAATTTAACTGTCTAGAGTCCAAACCATCACAAGGAACTTTGAATGATCTCCAATATTTATAGAAGTAGCTTATAAATTGTTTTAATCATACTAACCTTACCGATTTAGTGAAAAAGGTTAGCCCTTAGTTGATAATGATACTTAAATTTTGACATTTCAAACATTAATTCTTACATGTCGTTTAGATAGGAGAAAATAACTCATGCAAGTTTTCAGGCGAAAAAATTAAATACTAACAAGTCCTCCGAATCTCGTTTAAATATTTAGATTCTAAGCAATTTATTAAGAGGATGTTTGGATAAAAATCAAACTACAATTTTAAAAATGATTTTATGAAATATGAAATAAATATATAAGATGAGACTTGTCTCAATTTACACGAAAACACTTTTAAAAGTGTTTTTTTTATCCAGACACCCCTTACTCACTTTTGTAAATATGAAAATTT